GGGTGGGAACTGATGGGAGGGAAGCTGGGAATGGGCGACAGGGGTTGGATCACTCGATGATTACCTGTTCTGTTCATTCCCTCTGGGGCACCTGACATTGACCACTGTCGGAAGACAGGATACTGGGCTAGATGGACCTTTGGTCTGACCCAGTATTGCCGTTCTTATGTTAAGTGTAATGTTCTGTCCTTGGAAAGGTTTCTCAGGACCAGGATGGAACTTCAGAGCAGGAGATGTGGCTGACATCTCAGCTAGCTTAGCGCCCCAACCACTGGGCGACTGGCTATTCTGGGCTACAGTTCCCCCGAATCAACGGTCTTGGTTTTGTGATGAAACGCCATGAAAACAAATTTAGAAAGTACCATTTTTCATACACCGAGTTTCTTGTTCTCCAGCCCATGCCCACCAGAAGCACTTTCACAGCCTCAGAACAGCAGACACCCACTGGACATGCCTCCACCAAAACTGGTACCCAGAGAGCCTAATCCCAGAGATGCCACCCCAGATGCACAGCCAGGATCATTCTCACTCTCACATCGAGCTGCACGGAGTGCTAGAAATACCCAGATTTGAGCTCCCCGGGTCTGCTTTCAACTGGTTCCCGAACCCACAGACCACCCAGCCCTCTCTGCCATGTGGCCTGTGTTCAGGCAGCCCCAGTGCTGCTCAGAGCAGGCCAGTACCCTTAGCCGGCACAGGGCCAATTAGATAAGGGGCTTCTCGGCCACTGCTTTCATCTGTCTCCCGAAAACTCACATCAGCCTAGGCGAGCCAGACACCCCTTCACTGCCTGATCAGGCCTGACACTGCTCCAGAAAGACTGACTACATGCTTCTCCTCCACGAGGGTACAGCCACAGCAGGAGAGCCCTGAATTACTAGGGAAACAGCTCTGCTCTCCTCCGGGCTGGAATGCATGTTGTACGGGGGGAGGTGAGCATGATCAGATACCACAGGGATGGGCAGCAGGTAAAACCCTGAATGAGATAAGACCGACTGCGTCTGGGAGACGGTATACAGGGCGTGTACAGCTATGGTAGGGTCATGGGCTGCTTTCGCCCTTCATTAATTTCAGCCCCCGCTTTGCTGTGCTATGTCCTTTGGGGGCATTCACGCTGGCATGTCGCCAGGCAAACACCCTTCTGATGAACTTAAGCATCCAAATGCAAGACCTGAGCATCCTGCTTGGGCCTTGCATCGTTCTTAGAAAGCATGTCCTTCGATTCTCTATTCATAGACAAAAGACTTCACTTTCCTACCCCCGCAGCATAAGTGCCAACGAAGCAGGAGCCTCAGTGCCAGCCTGCTGCTGGGTATCCACAGGTTTTACAGCTTCCTGTTAAAAGGTGTATAGTGCCCCTGACTTCTGTACAACACCCTGCACTTTGCTTCTGCATCTCACAGCACATATGCAACCAGCAGGAGGCATTAACATGCCGATGCTGCCTGGGTAGACCAGTAATCATGCCCTGGGGAACTAGAGGGTGGTTTTAATTCTTGCTCGCTATTTGATTCAGTTGGCTGATTTTTTAATCTGAGAGGCTAAAATGACAATGGACAGTGTTCCCACAGTGATTCTCTGAGAGGCCAGACATCCCTTGTTCATTCTGGGCAACAGCAGAGTGGGAACACTATCCATTCCCATTTTCTCTCCTTCCAGCCTAATTCTTTGTCACATAGAACTTAACCCAGGGATGGGCAAACTTTTTGGCCTAAGGACCACATCTGGGTATGGAAATTGTATGGTGGGCCATGAATGCTCACAAAATTGGGGGTTGGGGTGTGGGAGAGGATGAGGGCTCTGAGGTGGGGCCAGAAATGAGGAGTTCAGGGTATGGGAGGGGGCTCTGGACTGGCGCAGGAGGTTGGGGTGCAGGGGGCTGCGGTGCCGGGGGTGGTGAGAGCTCCAGATGGGGGTGTGGGCTCGGGGGTGAGGCTGGGGATGAAGGGTTGGGGTGCAGGAGGGTGCTCTGGGCTGGGACCAAGGGGCTCAGAGGGCAGGAGGGGGATCAGGGCGCAGGAGGGGGTCGGGGTGCAGGCTCTAGGTGGCGTTAACCTCAATCAGCTCCTGGAAGCAGCAGCATATCCTGCCTCTGGCTTCTATGTGGAGGCACGGCCAGGCGGCTCTGCGTGCTGCGCTGTCTGCAGGCGCCGCCTCTGCAGCTCCCATTGGCTGCGGTTCCTGGCCAATGGGAGCTGCAGAGCCGGCGCTTGGGGCGAGGGCTGCATACAGAGCCCCCTGGCTGCCCCTATACATAGGAGCTGGAGGAGCGACATGCCACGGCTTCCAGAAGCTGCGCAGAGCCACAGCACACACGGAGCAGGGCAAGCCCTAGATCCCGCTCCCCTACGGGAGCTCGAGGCAGGGCCGGCTCTAGGTTTTTTGCCGCCCCAAGTTCCAAGAGCACAAATGCCCAAGCAAGAAAAAAAAAAAAAAGGTGCTTGCTGGTGCCTAGAGCCGGTCCTGGCTCGAGGGTCGGATTAAAACGTCTGATGGGCCGGATGTGGCCCCTGGGCCATCGTTCGCCCACCCCTGACTTAACCTGACTCCTTGCTGAATCTGGGGTTGTGACGAGCAAGCTCTCCCCATTGTCTCGGGCTGTGTGTGTCACATGGCACCAGCTGCACAGTCCACAACACACAGTACAGTAGAACTGAACACAGAAAAGTATCTCTGGTCTGCAAAGCTCCCTCTGCCCTCCCCGCTGTGCACAGCCCTTCGTTTAATTGTCTGTCAGGAGCTGACCTGAGAGAAGAGGCCTAGCCAGGCCGGCAGAGGGCAGCTGAACTCCAGCATTGGCCCCTACTCTCACTTTGTTTCCAAGCCTGAGCCTGGAATCAAATGGCTGTGGCAGGATTATGGCGGTCACTAAAACTTCCCTAATTTCCAGGGAAAGTGATTCACATAGCAGGTGTGGTCTCATACGGGCCACAGAAGGGTAGTTCGCTATTCTACCGGATCTCAACATATTTAATGAGATCAGCAAGGAGATATGGAGCATTTCCAGTGCTACTCCACATCTCTCTCCAGGAGGAAGTTAGGTCAGCGCCTGGAGTCGCAGTCCCCATGCCTCTCCCAGCATCTGCAAACTGACTTACTGCGCGTGCGACTCCCAGGAGACTTACTTCACACACCTCGGCTTCCACGTGACAGAAAAGACATTCAGGCACCATATGACTGACTTGCAGTGAGCCCAGATATAGAATTGATGCTTATCACCCTCCTGCAATCACAATAGCTAGTGTGGAGAACAAGCAAGCAAAACGTCCCAGCAGCCCCCAGGGAACTCCTTCCTGATCCCCAGCTGGTGCCCGGGTCATCATGGTTGGGGAAGTTTGAATGGGAGCAAACGGAGATTCTGAGAGTGGGAATGGACCAGTGCTGGTGCCAACGTTTCAGCCCCAGGCTCGCACGCGGGGAGCCTCTGTCCCAGCTGACGTGCTCCAGTGGTGATATTAAACACTGCAGCCAGGCCTGACTCCTTTCCAGCTGCTGAGGTGTCGATGTACCTGACCTCAGACTCAGTGTGGAAGCCACAGATCCAGCAGCAGCCAGTGAGTGCTTATTTCAGCTCCACACAGCATCATTATCTGGGGACTGGTGACCCTGGTAAGATTCTGTCTCCAATTTCACTTCAAACGCTGGCTCTAATCAGCGCAGAGATGGGACTGGCTGAGACCTGAGCAAGTTCCAAATACGCAGAAAATGAGCAAAGATTGGGCAGCTGGTGTACAGTGCTATAATTTTCCCAGCTAATTAATGCCATCGTTAAAATTAATGGGAAGCAAACATTTCCAGGAGAAAGTACCGTCGGCAAACAAACAGAAAGCTCTACACTCCAAAGACGTGAGCTCGGTCTGCGCAATCTCCATTTGCCCAGAACAGCACACATCAGAGGGGCTGGCGACACAGGGCAGGGTGAGGTTATCAGAGTGCCTGCCACATGCTCCTTGGGACAGAGCCACACCTTAATCTGATTTACAATTCCCTTCTTGCTCGCTCCACGATCCTGAAAATCTCTGATCCCCTCCTAGAAACATGGTCCACAATGGCCCCAAAACCTAACTGCTCAGATGACAACAAAGCCCCGGCCAGCGCTGTATTTCTGGGTGAGCAAGGCAGCCCCACACCCCATTCACTGCCCCTTCTCCTTACCTAGCTGTGCAGAGCTGTTGGGTTTCATGGGGATATGGGCATGCCACTGCCATAGCCCCTCGAAGACCTAGCAGGGCTTTCCCTCCTCTAACTTCTAGGATCTGAGTTTCTAGTAGCTATGCCAGACACCCACCCCCCCCAAGCTGGATCTAAGATGGAAAGCAAGCCTCGCGTACAATGGCCACCTGCTCACTGACAGGCCACCAAGCGCCCCTCCCTCATGCTCCACGCTGGGCCAGCACCTTGCTGGGCATCCCTTCCCCACACGCTCCATGCAGACTCATCCAGTCTGACCCTTGTCAAGGCGCAGTGCAAGATCCTCCTCTCAGAGCAAGCATTTCCCAGTCTAACTAAATTAACCGGGGAGGGAAAGGAAGGGTAGAAACTCAAAAAAACAATGTGTATCCCAGAGACGGGAGAAGAGCAGATTCCTCATGCGCACCAGGGACCTGCCATGCAGACTTTGCACCTGGGAAGCACCAGGGACTGCAGTGACAGCTGATGGTGAAATGATGGACACACACGCAGATGCACAGGCTGTGGAATGCTTGTAGCATGGACAAGCTCCTCTGCCACCCTTTTTAAGAGGCCTTATAGAGAGCATTCGGGAGGTTCCTGGCAGGGGCAGCACATCATAGAACATGGCTCCTACTCTGAACAGCTCTGTTCTCAGCTGCGCCCCTGGGGAGCGAGTTCACATTGTTCCACAACAGCATTTCTATCACACTGTGTCACAACAGGAGGCAGAATCCTACACACCAAAGAGAAACCCCTCAAGGAATAAAGCATCTCCCTGCTGTGCTGGCTGTACCCGCGTCCTGCTGGGTGAAGGGTCCAGCTCTCACCTGTTGAAGAGGTTATTCCTGCTGACCATTCGCAGGAAGCCGGTTGGATCAGTTACTGAGTTCAACTTATTGTTCATCTCCTCAAACTGTTGGTCCATGATGTCCCCAGCTTCACTCTCTGTCTCGCTGCTGGCACAGGCTCTGAGGAGAGAACAGCAGAGAAAGGTCAGTAAGGCAGAGCACAGCATCAGCTTCATTGTAAATACTGGGGGGGTGAGAGTAGAACCTGGGCTGAGGACAGGAACTCTCTAGCCTAAGGTCTGTTCTGTTCTCCCAAGGAGACCCAGCAACAGGAGGAGAATGACCCACTCCTCTGCCCAGGGGCACTGCTCAGGGCTCTGGCTGCATGACTCCTACAGATGGGAATCCTGGAACCAAAATCCCACAGCTTGTAACAGGCACTGGGGGTTGAAGCCACAGCCTGAAACAGGAGCCTCTGCGAAACCCTGACTCACATCAGAGTGTGACTCACATCCTTGGAGTCTTGCTGAGGCCTTCAGACTTTTAGCACTTCTCGCCAGCAGATCTCGAAGTGCATCATAAAGCAGGCCAGTATCATTAGCCCCACTTTACAGATGGGGAAACTGAGGCAAAGAACAGGGATGGGACTTGTCCCAGGTCACCCAGAAGAGCTAGGAATAGAACCCACGTCTTCGGAGTCCCAATCCAATCCTCTATCCACTAGGACACATTGCCTCATCGAAACTACAAGCAGTGGGGTGTTCAGCCGAATACTGGCAGCTTGTCCACCATGTCTGCCCTGTGCGCAGAGCAATTCAGCCATGACAGCTGGGGCAACTCCTCCCATGGACTCTTCCTCATGTTTGGGAGGTCAGAGGGAGATGCTCCAATGGAGGATTATGCACAAGTTACCCCTCCCCTCCCACTCTCTTGCCTTCCTCCCCCTGTTTGTAACCTCTCATGCTCCTCCCCCTCCTGGAGGGCTCCCAATAGCAAGCAGAGTGTGACACACCTATAAGCCCGGCCATGCTCCTGGCCCTCTATCGGTAATTAACAACTCACTACCCTGGGCCAGTGACAAGCTACAACGTGTTCAGCTGGTTCTGTCTGGCGCAGACACCTCTACATGCTCCCCACTGGCCACACAGGCACCGAAGACCTGCCAAGCGTCACACAGCTCTGTGATGTCTGCATGCTGTTGTCAAAATTGGGCCCACCATCACTTCCTTTGGGTTTTTATTCAAAAAGACTTTGGGGTGGAAAATAAGGGCACAGATGGAGGCTGATTCTGGCTGACTGGAAGATGAGAGAAGGGGAAGGAGTAAACTTCACCATCACGGCTGCCATCCTCCACCTCCTTCTTCCTGACCAGACTCAGACGACACGGCCACCTCCACTGGCTAGTAGGATGGGAGACTGTCTCTCTCCTCCACCCCCTGAGTCCTTTTCCTTACCCATCTTATTTCTTCTTTTTCCAATCCCTCTCCTTTTTTCTTCTAATACGAGTCTGGCTTAGCTGGCCAAGACTGTACATTTTGCAACACTGCTGTAAGCCTATGGCTAGAAAGAGGTGGCTAAAAGCAATGCCCTAAACAGCCCTACGCTGGTACAAGTTTGCCAGGTCTCGGAGTGGCTGGTAGTAAACCATGTGCTAGGCCTGTGTTTTTCCAAGCAGTGAGGTTGCAAGTGAAAGTCAACACCAGAGACAGAAGCTGCATGTTCTCTTTCCTTTCCTTTCCCTTCTCTTTTGTGTTTGTTTGTGTTGTTTTGTCTTCTCAGGAAACAGGACTGGACTTTAACAGCAGCAGCAATGATGGCAGCTCCAACCCATCTTAACTAACCTCTTCTCTTTTCTGATAAAAGAAGAGTTCTTATCATCTTTGATACCACCTAAACGACTATCCAACAAGGGGGCTTCCTTTTAAAAACTCACTCTAGCTTAAGGGAAAGGGAACAAGGGATGCTAATAAAATGAAAGCCTGACTTTTTAACACTTTACATTTCAAATGTTCGAACTCTTTTTTCTGTCTTTCCTGTGTCTAAAAGTTTAAAAGAACTTTTACTGGTGTTTTCACCATGGTACCAAACAGACTGAGGTCTCTGGATACCAAACCCCAAACTTTGTTTAGAACTGTTTAATGCTGGACAGTGACTGGGTCACATTAACACCTTTGGCCCATATGTTCTATCTAAATTCATACCACACTACATGCTGAGTAAAGTGTTGAGGAAACAAGAACCACACACAGTCCCCTGAAACAGAGGGCACTGTGCTGGGAGGCAGGAGGGCTGAGTAGTAGCCCAGCTTCTCCAGAGCGTACTGTATTTCTCTGCATTTCACCTGCCTTGTTATTAACCAAGGCCTCAAACCCGATCTCCAGAGAAGGCAACTATCACTCACCTAATTCACAGAGTGGTCACTGTGGCTGCACAAGGACACTTAGTAGAGCTGGCAACAGAGCCCAAATCTCGCTTGACCACACTGCCTTTTAGACTGTGCCAAATTCTTCATACTGGATAAACAATGGAGGCAGCAGTAATGTTCCTTACATCTGGCATTTCTTAACTTTCAAGTGTTTGACTTTGTGACCTAAATAATACTTTTTTAACACACATTTTGGTATTTCCTAGGGTGTGGTGTGTTTGTGTGTGTGTGTGCAGGGCTGTCCCTAGCAATTCTGGGGCCCTACACAGCTCCCCCCGGCCATGCTGCCGGAAAGTGCAGCCCGGCTGCAGAGCCCAGGGGAGTGGGGGCGGGGCTGGGCCTGCACTCACCAGTAGTGGGAGTGCAGCAACCCAGCCTCAGCCACACCACCAGTGAGTGCTGGGGGGGGGCCAGGAGGGGGGCTAGGGCGGGGTCCCAGGGGAAAAGGCGGATGGGGGGGTGGAGCAGGGGTGGGGGCCTGGGGAAGAGCTGGAGCAGAGGCTGGAGCAGCACGCAGCTGCACAGGGCACCAGGAAATTTGGTGCCCCACGCAGCTGCAAGCTTTGTGTATGGGTAAGGACGGCCCGGAGCGGGGTTAAGGTAAAAGCTAAAAACAAGTTATATTATGTGCAATTGTAACACCCCCTGTACGTATTACATAATTTGCATAGATGTCACACACACAGCTGCCCAAATCTTGGTAGCTATGTGCACACCCTCCAGTGTGGGCCTAGTCACTTGGAACACAGACTGTCTGGTCACTGACAGTGGCCAACAGGATGGTGTTTGAATGCATTTGCCAGCTGGGGCTCTCCCCGGAAATGACACTGGCCATGAAAGAAGCCAGGAGGGAGGCTTTGCTAACCCATTTCACACTCATGGTACTTAGCACAGCTCTGCAAGAAGGACAATCCTGGTCTCTATGCTTATGGCAGTCCCTACCCTCTGCCATATGTGTGTATTTGTGCGGGCACATGTGTTGTGTGTGCAAAGCATAGAAACACCCACATGGAAGGTAATTTAATGGTGCACACACATGCCTATCTGTGCAAATGTGTGCGCATGTCTGTCTGTGGGAATATATGTCTAATCTTGCTTTTCTTCCCCTGCCCCAATTCTCTCTCTCTGTAAAGGTTATATATTAGTGGCTTTAAGGACTAACTACAAACCAAGGAGCAAAGGCACATTGTGAAATCTGCCTGCAGTCACAGACTTAGGGTGCCCTGCTGGGCCCAGTCACAACTGAGCAACACTTAACAGCATCCACATGCCCCAGCACTTAAACAGGAATTAGCTGCAGAATGCCAGCAGGAATGAAAGGTTTCAGAGTAGCAGCCGTGTTAGTCTATATTCGCAAAAAGAAAAGGAGTACTTGTGCATTTTAGAGACTAACAAATTTATTTGAGCATAAGCTTTCGTGAGCTACAGCTCACTGCATCGGATGCATTCAGTGGAAAATACAGTGGGGAGATTTATATACACAGAGAACATGAAACAATGGGTGTTACCATACACACTGTAACGAGAGTGATCACTTAAGATGAGCTATTACCAGCAGGAGAGCAGGGCGGGGGGGGGGGGGGACAACGGGGGGGGACGGGGACGGACGGGGACCGACCTTTTGTAGTGATAATCAAGGTGGGCCATTTCCAGCAGTTGAGAAGAACGTCTGAGGAACAGTGAGGGGTTGGGGTGGGAAAATAAACATGGGGAAATAGTTTTACTTTGTGTAATGACCCATCCACTCCCAGTCTCTATTCAAGCCTAAGTTAATTGTATCCAGTTTGCAAATTAATTCCAATTCAGCAGTCTCTCGCTGGAGTCTGTTTTTGAAGTTTTTTTGGTGAAGAATTGCAACTTTTAGGTCTGTAATCGAGTGACCAAAGAGACTGAAGTGTTCTCCAACTGGTTTTTGAATGTTATAGTTCTTGACGTCTGATTTATGTCCATTTATTCTTTTACGTAGAGACTGTCCAGTTTGCCCAATGTACATGGCAGAGGGGCATTGCTGGCACATGATGGCATATATCACATTGGTAGATGTGCAGGTGAACGAGCCTCTGATAGTGATGTGATTAGTCCCTATAATGGTGTCCCCTGAATAGCTATGTGGACACAGTTGGCAACGGGCTTTGTTGCAAGGATAGGTTCCTGGGTTAGTGGTTCTGTTGTGTGGTATGTGGTTGCTGGTGAGTATTTGCTTCAGGTTGGGGGGCTGTCTGTAAGCAAGGACTGGCCTGTCTCCCAAGATCCGTGAGAGTGATGGGTCGTCCTTCAGGATAGGTTGTAGATCCTTGATGATGCGTTGGAGAGGTTTTAGTTGGGGGCTGAAGGTGAAGGCTAGTGGCGTTCTGTTATTTTCTTTGTTGGGCCTGTCCTGTAGTAGGTGACTTCTGGGTACTCTTCTGGTTCTGTCACTCTGTTTCGAGACACCACTGACTTCCTGAGGAAACTACAATCCATTGGTGATCTTCCTGAAAACACCATCCTGGCCACTATGGATGTAGAAGCCCTCTACACCAACATTCCACACAAAGATGGACTACAAGCCGTCAGGAACAGTATCCCAGATAATGTCACGGCAAACCTGGTGGTTGAACTTTGTGACTTTGTCCTCACCCATAACTATTTCACATTTGGGGACAATGTATACTTCAAATCAGCGGCACTGCTATGGGTACCCGCATGGCCCCACAGTATGCCAACATTTTTATGGCTGACTTAGAACAACGCTTCCTCAGCTCTAGTCCCCTAA